CCAGTGCAAGTTTTTGAAAGACGATTATAAATCTGTAGTAGCCTCCACAGTTTTAATATACCAAGCAAATTAAGTACATAGGAACCTTTTAAAAGTGAATTAAGATACAACTATACTACCTTATGACATCAACTCAGCTTATGCTGACTTGGGTTTCAGTTGGGCCACATTAGTTTATAATTAACATTTTTCTAAAGATTTAGTTGCATTTTACTTTAAATTTAGTATAGGCGCTCCTTTGCTCAAACCGAAGTGGTCTGGTTTACTAGTGAAACATGTACAACTCTGTTGAGTCTATTCCATCTGTCAAATGCTGACTGACAGTACTCCTGAATCACATTTATTGAGAAAGGCACAAGTTTTCTGCACAGAATGCTTATCACCACTTACAGATCTTATTTTTGCTAATCAAGAGACTATTGATTGTTATATTCCATAAATCAATTTGTAGACACAGCTTAGCTTGAAGCCTTTCTGAGACTGAAACAGGGTATGCTTCTTCCCATCCCACCCCCTAGAAGTAGGTTTATTTTATCTGATTATGAAAGCAAGCTAATAAAAGGAGAGAAAATATAGTACATTATATACTAAGCAATTATACATTTAAGCAATTCAGAAAAGTTGAAGAAAAAATTTTAATTAAAAACATCTAGAATCTTACCACTTACAGATTATCATTATTATCAATATTTTGCTGTTTCAGACTTTTTTCTCAGCATATATGAACACATAGATTGACCTCATTTTTGTTTTAAAAATACCTATCATGTTGTTCTGTTTTGTACCCAGCTTTTCTTTTTCGTTTCCTTAAGAATATGTTATAGACATCTTTGTATAGCAGTAAGTGAGGATGTCTTTTGGCCATTTGGTCATTACCACCTCCTACTTCTCTCAATTTCTAATTTTTAAGTTGAGAATTTTATTATAATTATAATATATAATTATATAAAATTAATATATATTATATATTTATATATAATTAATTATATTATGTACAATTATATTAATATATAATTATAATTTTATTATATAATAATTACAACACCTTTTGTAAGGGTATGCATCACTTTAGTTTTTCAGTTTAAAAAAAATCACTGAATTTTAGTTACCCTTGCCAAAAGATAAAGAAGGAAGCAATTACATATTCCCTTGCAGTTGGTAAAATTTGTCCTGTAAATTAACCATTTAAGAAATTCATTCCAAAGGTCAGTTATATTGGATCTGTAATTGTGCTAAGGTTCAGACAGATCTGAATACTACCTATTCCTTATCTTTGATGAGAGGGTAGTGATTAAAATGGGAGAGGTAACAGAGATTGTTTGCTTGAGAACAGCAATTTGATGTCCACTTCCTTTCCTATGCAACCTCCTCTCTGGTAGCCAAAAACGAGGTGGCACGAGAAACCAGCTCATAACACTGACATTGTGAATGGTTACGACTTCTGGCTCACTGAAATCTAAGGTGTTACTTAGAAGATTGGGAGATAGTGTATGACATTGCTGTATCGTTAAACACGACACAAATCAAAGAAAAAAGCATATTTGCATTTGCATGTACAGGTAAGCAATTCTGCTATTCTCACAACCTCCAGAAATGCAGAAATGAAGAAACATATCTCCTATTTGATTACTCTCTAGGCAGGTAAACTAAACTTTATAATAGTGTTGGTGACAGTCATATAATCTGAAATAATGTTTCAGGATGCAACAAGTCAGTGTTACAGAGACCTCTGATTTTGGTTAAAATAATCTTTTCATGTGTTCTGTTGTTGAATTAAAACCCACTTTTTCTAGTAGAAAGTGTTTGCTTGTCCCCCTGGGCTTGGAACAGAAGTCCTTGGTCTTTCTCTGGAGCACCAAAAAGTCTGGGACGGGGACTCTTAGTCTCAGACAGTCTGGCAGTTGAGCTCTAGATTCTCTTCTGGCTGACGTTATCCTTGCTACCGTTTTAGGTTGCTTGAACAAATCATTCCTCAGTAATCTGAGGGAAGGGAGGAGCTCATTAAGCAAGTGCTTTCTTTTTTTTTTTTTAATTTATCTTTTGGCTACATTGGGTTTTTGTTGCTGTACGTGGACTTTTCTCTAGTTGCGGCAAGCAGGGGCTACTCTTCATTGCAGTGCGCGGGCCTCTCTCATTGCAGTGGCTTCTCTTATTGAGGAGCGTGGGCTCTAGGTGCGCAGGCTTCATTAGTTGCAGCACACAGGCCCAGTAGTTGTGGCACGTGGGCCCTAGAGCATGCGGGCTTCAGTAGTTGTGGCGTGCAGGCTCAGTAGTTGTGGCTCACAGGTTCTAGAGCGCAGGCTCAATAGTTGTGGCGCACGGGCTTAGTTGCTCCGCGGCATGTGGGATTTTCCTGGACCAGCGCTCAAACCCGTGTCCCCTGCATTGGCAGGTGGATTCTTAACCACTGAGCCACCAGGGAAGTCCCAGTAGGTGCCTTCTTGTATTTAAGTACAGTAGTTATCTAAACAGGTGAATGCCTGTGGTAGTAAACCATGTGATGAAAAAAAAAGATGAGATCATTAAATGGTCTTGTTAACATATGTATGGGCTGTTAGCCCTGTGGTCTTCCTAGAAATATTTGCAGTTTTAAAGGAGGATAATACTTAAACACATCTCTTTTTGGTATAATTTTAAAAGTAAACACTTCAGGCAGTGGAAAGATATTTAAGTGTTTGCTGGATAAGTCACTTTTGCCTGGGACATATTCAACTCCCCTAGGCTAGACTGCTTTTTATACTCTCTTGCCTTCCTGGACTTGTTAACCTAAGGAAGTCCAAAGCTTTTTCCTTGATGGTTGCTGTTGGCAGTGGAGGTGTATTCTGCTTAAGCAAGGATGGCCGTTTGGAAGTACAGGTCATTTATAAATTATAAACTTGTAAGTACAGATCTACATATATTTGCTAATTGCATTAACAGAAAAAGAATTGGAGAATAAAAAGGTTTTGTTGCTTCGTCCTGGTCTGGAATTTCAGGGAAATAAAGGAACACTCTGTTTATCCAAAACCAGATCCATTGTTAAAATTAGTGTCGGACTTTCTTTTTGTAAATCCCTCTTCACTTTACCAGTGCTGGTCTCAGACCTCAAACTGTTTCAAAACCATAACATTTCTTAGTGACTGATTGATCTGTATTATGTGTCCAACCATCAGAGGGATCTTGGGATGTTGCTTGTGTAAACTGTAATCCAATCTGATGCTGTGCATTTAGTTACAGTCTTTCATAGACCTATTGGCAATACTCTATCCTCCTGGATTTGGGAATAGAGCTTATCTGATACCTTCAGGGGGGAAAAAATCCATTCATTTTTCTCTCTTTCCCCACTTAAATAACTCAACACATCTGGTAACACTGTAGGATCATTGTCCTCGCAGTTCCTCTGCAGCTCATATTGCTACAATATTTCTTAAGTATTTGGTTACCTAAAGGGCAATGCGATTAAAAAAAAAAAAGACTTTGTATAGGTCTTACAAATTAACCCATCTGCAGAGCTAGAAAAAAATAATCCCTTTAATCAGCAAAATTTCCATATCGGCAGCCTTGTGTGTGTTGTGCAGGATGCATGTAAATATACATTTGGAGATAAATGCTTATGTGTTAAAATTTTAAAGCATATCTTTCTAAAAATTCATGTCATTTGCCTCTAAGAAAATGTTTATTAAATCCAAGGTACCTGAGATTGAAGTATCTTGTTGTTTGGGTCTGTATCCTTTGGCTTAATAATGTCTTCAATTACAAGAATGATAAAAGCTGAAACAAAATCCTTTAATTCAGTCAAAACTGAGCTAAATTTTAGGAAGCAAAGAGTGGAAATCTGATACAGGACTGCATAACATAGGAAGCTAAGTATATAAGATACTAAGACTTCTTAAGAAGCAGGTAGAGTTGCCTTGAGGAATTCTTGTTTGAAATGGCTGCACTGAACATTATAATAAATACCACTGTTTTATCCTCTTGAATTAAGATGGTTTATGCAAACAACTCTAAATTGTACAGTAGTTCCAAAGAGACCATTTACTATTTTCTGCTTGTTTTACATTCTGGAACAAGTTCAAAGCTTTTGATTTTGTTTGATTTTTTTTAATAGCCTGGGCCTTGAAAATAATACAGGTTTGATGATACAATTTCAGTATTACAGTTCTGTAAAAATTTTCAGTGTTTATGGTACATTTGACCCAGGGGCCCTACACCAAATATATCCACAGTGCATTTTTAGTACAACAGAATGAACACGTTAGAAAGGTTGCTTTTCTCTCTGTATTACGTATGAAAATTAGCATTGTGATGCCTCCCAGAATGGGGATATTGAAAAAGTATCCACCTGACAGAAATAAACATTCAGCAAATAAATAGGGTTAAGATTTCATTAGTTATCTGAGGGACTTCCCTGGTAGCGCAGTGGTTAAGAATCCGCCTGCCATTGCAGGGCACACGAGTTCGATCCCTGGTCCGGGAAGATCCCGTGGAGTAGCTAAGCCCATGTGCCACAACTACTGAGCCTGCACCCTAGAGCCCGCGTGCCACAACTACTGAAGCCCGCGCACCTAGAGCCCGTGCAACACAACAAGAGAAGCCACCACAATGAGAAGACCACGCACCACAACGAAGAGTAGCCCCCTTTAGCTGCAACTAGAGAAAGCCCACGCGCGGCAACGGAGACCCAACGCGGCCAAAAATAAATTAATTTTTTAAAAAATTTCATTAGTTATCTGAAATTTAAGCTTATGTTCAATATGGCTATTACTGGATTTTCACATATATTAAATGCTATGCTTACAAGATTTTTTTTTTTTTGCTTGAATTATGACCGGAAATATTGGATCACAGCTCTAATATCCAGGTGGGCAATGCCATTTGCCAGGATCTTTGCACATAACCCCATTTTTTTTTTTCTATCAAGCAGAATACTGCCTTGCTACTAAGCCTTGTGAAGCATTCTGAGGTAAAAATAGGGATACATTTTTTTAATTGTTTCTTTTGATTTTTTTCTTGTTTTTTAGGTTGTGGAACTTTTAGCAAGTGCTCTTATGGATTTGGTACAAGGAGTATACCATGAAAATTCTACTTCAGCAAAGGTAAAGATTTGGTAGTCATTATAAAATGTTAGGTTAAAAACCCTCGTGGCAAAAGTAGAATTGACAAGCAAAAACATCATTCTTGTTTTGTGTTTAAATTGTTCGTGACATTTTTTTAGATTAGTGTTTTGGCTACAAATTCATGGTCATATGCTTTGCGCGTAGCAGATTTAGCCAATTAAAACAACCTCTTATCCTCTGGCTGGATTCAAAGTCTGTTCAATCTGCAGCAGCCCAAAAGACACCAGGATGCTTCTGGCTGGCAGGTAGCACTGTCAAAAAGGCAGGCAGGCTGGAGAAGCAGCTCATGCTGAGGTGGCTGGACCCAGCCTTTCCTCAGAAGAAGGGGCTTTCCATGTCCCAAAAGAGTGGACATGGTCCCAAGAAGGTGACTGTTGGGGGCATGAGGGAGGAATGTCTTCTATATCCAAGAACCAGAATTTACTGCATTATTAAATTCTCTGTGATAAGACGTAAGATGATTGCACAGTTGGATTATTTTGATTAATTTTATAGATCTAGAATTAAGGATTTTTGACTCATTTAGCAGGACATCTCAAAAAGGGTTACGTTTTACTTCCTTAAAATGCAGTTATTTCATTTCAGCAGGATATTGAATGTGAAGCAATTGCTTCATTGACCACCACCATCAGTTAACATGTTATAAAATATTATAAGGGACTCCTATATAAGTGTTTCATTATTCTAACTTCTTCAGCTTCTGCATTAGCAAGATTTCACTCACTGCAAATTAGAAAAAAATATGCATGTATGCACATCTTAAGCTTTTTGACATTTCCATGTGAAAAAAGAAAGAAATTTTACTGGAAGTGAAACCTAGGGCATGAGCAACTTGGATATGAAATTTAAAATTTAAAAGTATAACCCAGGGATTCTGGATGGTTCAGAGAGTGGTTAGTGAAATATGAAGAATTACACCTTGAACATCTGCTATCATTTGGTTCAGGGAACCATAGTTCCTGGCAGGCATATCGAACTTCACCTAAGCAGCATAGTACTGTGTGGGGACCTGGCAGGGTATATGACCACAGTAGACCCCCTTTCCTGTGTTTTTCAAAAACATACCATAGGGCTTCCCTGGTGGCACAGTGGTTGAGAGTCCGCCTGCCGATGCAGGGGACACGGGTTCGTGCCCCGGTCCGGGAAGATCCCACATGCCGCAGAGCGGCTGGCCCCGTGAGCCATGGCCGCTGAGCCTGCGCGTCCGGAGCCTGTGTTCCGCAGCGGGAGAGGCCACAACAGTGAGAGGCCCGCGTACCGCAAAAAACAAACAAAACAAAACAAAACAAAAACATACCATAGTTCTCTACCATGGCTGAAGGTTAATAGGAGATTGTAAAATGGAGGACTCCTGGTCTAGTTCCACTTATAAAAAGACCCCTTGTATATAGTATGATGAAGACGATGGTGGGTAAGCAAATAACACTGTGGTAAGTAATTCACCTGTTTCTTCCTTAAAGTCTTCACAGTAATCCTGCTAGCAGAGACTGCTGCTCTCCCCATTTTACATCTGTGAAAACTGAGGCTTAGAAAAGATTAATGTGCCCATAGTCATACAACTTGTTAGTTGAGATTGAACCTCAGACCTCAGGCTCTTAACCTCCCATTCACTGCCTCTGTAACCTAAATGAAGCCTGATTTGCTAGCATGCCTCTGCCATACCTGAGATCCTACCATATCTGATGATTACAGTGACCTCTTCTGGCAGCTGAAGCATTGTTTCCCCCCGGGATATTTCTAAGGCGTTCAGTTTAGTTCCACATAAGATATTAATGTTTTATAGTTAAATATCTGTTAAGTTTTAAGTGAAAGTGTTATTGTTGATTTTAAGGTTCTTGACTTACTCTTATCATTTGTCCACTATAATTACTCCAGTTTATTAATAATTTTGTGAACATTTGTTAAGTACTTTTTATATTTCAAGCAGACCTACTAGCAACAACAATAAAAATGCTTAGCACTTCACAGTTTGCTTATACTTTCTACATAATCACCTATGAAAAGGGTGACATTTGTTGGTACCCATTTTATAGAGGAAAAGCCTAAAATTCAGAGATGACAAATGCCAAGAAAGCAGTGTCTGGAAATTGTTAATGCATGTTTGACAGTGACATGATCTGAACCCAGGTTTTTTGACTCCAAGTCCTATATAATCTCTTTCTTCCTGGGAAAGAGAAGAGAGGCAGCAGCAAAGTCTTTGAAGGACTGTTGATCATACATGAACCATCACTTAGCAAGCACCAGTTGCTGACTTTGATTATCTAATTTAAGTTTTACTCAAAAGACTCTAGCAATGCTTTGTCATCTGCCCTCTTTCCCCACCACCTTCCCAAACACAGTCCTTTCAAACACTTGAGAACTTTTTTAAGCAGTTACATTTCTGAATATAGCCAAACCATTTAAAGAGCTGTTCTTTTTTTATAACGGAAACAAAAATGCATAGTTGAACTGAAGCAGTGGGAGTGCTTCCTTGATGCCTTCATTTGCTCTTTAGGTCCAATTTAGGTTAACCACATTTCCCTTCCTAACCAGAAAAATTCTGAGCTTTTTTTTTCCCCTTCTGCGTGTGCTTGCCATTACAGTGGCTGTTCAGAATCTGGTTTTTCTAACTTGGCCCAGGAATCACTTCAGAGACAGAGAGAGCACTGCCCCCCACATGGAGTGCCTTCAAGGTTTTCATGTTCTGACAAGATTGGGAAGCAGCCACAAGTGGAGGTCATGTGGGAAGTGAGTTGCACAACCTCCGTAGCCTGGGGCCAATTCAGTACACAAAAGAATTGCTTTGTGATTTAAAATAAGCTGCAAACCATTTCCTCTCTCCAGGGATAAGAGGATACAATAGTGGTCTGTTTTCTATATGGCTACGTACTACAGTGATGGAGAAGCTGGGTAGTATAAAAATAGCTTTCTGTGGAGTAGTATCTCTGTGACTAGGGTAGATGCATTAAAGCAAATGGAGGGGAATCGTAACTGAATATGTTAGGAATCACCTTCTCTAGAAGTTTGTAGAGTAATTACCTAATCCTCCTTAAAACTATGAAAATGTATGTGACTTATGTTAGTAATACTTAACAGATTGTACGTAAATTGAGATTCAGTGTTATTTAGGAAATTCATCCTTGTTCTGTCCATTGAAAAATAACATTTTTATTTTTGCATTTGCTAGTTTGCGAACCATTTCTTCCTTGAAATAAAAATTAGCCATTGTGCTTTCTTTAGTGTTTATATCTCCCTTCACTTTACCTGCTTTTTCTTTTTTTGTTAGCTAATTGAAGAAAGAAGCACATCAGATAGAAAAAATGCACTTTAAATGGTCGTTTGCCATCCTAAGAGTTCCCTAGTCATCGTATTCATATTACTGTGCACGCTAAATATTTTACATTTTAGCAAAATTTGCTTTGAATCCATAGGCCATTATATCTAAAATCTTTTTTTTTTTTTTTTTTTTTTTGCTGTACGCGGGCCTCTCACTGTTGTGGCCTCTCCTGTTGCGGAGCACAGGCTCCAGACGCGCAGGCCCAGCGACCATGGCTCACGGGCCCAGCGCTCCACGGCATGTGGGATCTTCCCGGACCGGGGCACGAACCCGCGTCCCCTGCATCGGCAGGCGGACTCTCAACCACTGCGCCACCAGGGAAGCCCTATCTAAAATCTTTTTAACACAATTATCTTATTATTATAACTTGTTTTCTAATTAGAAAAGTAAATACATGTTCATTAAATAAAAATTGAAAGTACAGAAAAGGTCAAGAGGAAAATAAAAATTATTTTATATAAGCCATCCCCCAGAAATGAATCATGATTACATTCTAGTGTATTTCCTTCTAGAGTTCATTCTATATTTCTCCCATTTTTGAGTTATTATTGTACATATAATTTTTCATCCTGATTTACTCTCCAGGATAGTCATTTTTGTTATTAAAAGCCTTCAAAAATATTTAATGGCTGTTTAATATTTCTTCATACTACTGTACTATAATTTACTGAACCAGTCCACAGTTTTTGGACACTTGTGGGTTTTTTTTTTTAACTAATTTAAACAATATTGTGATGAACATTTTAGTGTACATAACTTTGCTCTATTTCATACTATTTGCTAAAAAAAAAAATCTGAAAGTGAGATCCTTGAATTAAAAAAGTAAGAATATTTTCAATATATCCCTATGCAGAAAAGGACTACTGTCCTTAGAAAAACTGCTTGTAAGTTTGGCCTTGGATTTTAGGGATGTTTCCACCATTCTCTAACTGATAAGGGCAGTTCACTGTACCTAAACTGTCTCTGCAAACAATGTTATTTATACTGATCACCTGCTTTCCTTCCGGGAGCCTGGAATTTTGGTACATCCTAGGCAGTGGTTGCCTACATCACCAATTCCAACAAAAACTCTGAAAACTGAGTCTCCAGTGAATATCCCTGCTAGACAGCATTTCACATATGTTCTCATACATGTTAATTCTTGGAGGAATTAATCACATCCTGTGTGACTCCACTGGTAGAGGAAGGATTCTTAGAAGCTTACACCTGGTTTCCTCCAGACTTCATCTCTGCACCTTTTTCCTTTGCTGGTTTTACTTTGTATCCTTTTGCTGTAATAAACTACACCTGTGAGTTCAACTATATGCTAAGTCCTGTGTATCCTCCTCACAAACCATCAAACCTGGGGGTGATCTTGGGGATCCCAACACACTCTTTTTCTGATTTTTTATTGTTTATTTCCCATCCACTCCTGCTCCCTCCTTAGGAATCTAATCAAGGTCCTCTGTAAGGCATGTGTCTTCAACCCATGTTGGTGTTGAGATGGATAACAGCAGACTTCTTCCCTATTTTCAGAGGTTCTGCTCATGTTAGCTTGGTCCCAGTCTCAGGAAAGTGAGAGGGTTTTAAAGAGAATCCAGTTGTCTTGGAAAAGAACTGATTTTAACAGAGTCACTGAAATTGTAAAGATCCGTTCTGTTTTTTTCTAAACACATTATATTTC